CTACATGACTTCACGCGTGTGTTTTACTTCATATTATTTTTAACCCAATCGGTGTACTCGGAGACACGTGTGTATACGCCAGGATAACCGGGTTCGCCGCACTTATTGCCGAAAGAAACTATGCCAATCTGTGTCCATCGACCCTCGACTCGTAGCATCAGCGGTCCACCCGAGTCACCTTGACATGCGTCCTTGCCGCCTTGGCTATAACCGGCGCATAAAAAATTACTGGTGATCGGTTGAAAGTAAGCCGCATTGCAGTCCTCGTTCCTCCACACCGGCAGGACCGCCTGTCGTTGAACGGTGCTTTCCTTCCCGCCTGTTACACCATTCTCGTTAAGATATTTATCACGACTAAGAATATGTACAAAAAAAAAGAAGGAAAACGAGAAATTTGTCATACTTCAGATTTAGAAACTTATAACTTTTCACAGAATGTATATTTCTTTAACAATTTTATCTATTTTTATTTAATTTTAGAGAGTGTCATTCTAGGAAATGAAAGAAAAAATCAATTTCTATTTCGTGTTTTAAAACGCATATTATAAATCTTCCATTTTTCTTTTATTTTAATTCTTATCTAAATTTTTGATATTTTGAAAATGAATTCTCAATGCTTTGACCTCGATTAGCATGAGATAAGAATTTAGATTACGCTATGTCGGATATATAATCACAAAGAGAGAGATATTAATTACCATAATAAGTGGTGCCCCAACCAACCACCGTCGGTCTGGCGCCGGCGAACGGTTCTCCGCGAAATCGCGCCTGCGGCAAGCAAATGGGTATTATGTACGGTGACCTTCTTACGGGCCTAGTGAGCTCGAGGACGGCGATGTCATTGTAAAATCCAACGCGCGAGAACTTCGGATGCGCGTGAATCTCCTTTACCGCATAGGTCTCTGGCGATGAGGGTTCGTCATCTCTTTCAAGATCGATGTCGCCGAGACGCACAGTGAACTGGCGAGCGGCAAAACTGTAACGTTAAAAAATATATTAGAAATATTAGATTTTATATATATATATTGTAAAAAAAACTCCGTGAGAGAAATATTTTTCAAGAACTTTTGTAATCATTCGGTAAAATAGAATAAAAATCCGAGAGTGTACATATATTTTTAATTTTTATCTTTCTGATTAAAGTTCGTGGATTAACATGTTGTTGGAGCGTTCCTTACGGCCGCTGTCGCTGATCTCGCGTGCAATGAGCAGCAGTAAGGATGTGGTGCGGTCCTACCAGAGACCCTCCACACCAGAATTCTGTTCGTCGGGAACCGTGAAGAAAGATCGCTGCCATCCAGGGCCAACGACCAGGCAACGCTTCCTCGCCTCCAACGACACGGTATTTGCCTGAATTTCTCACTCCACATTCTAAACAGATGACAATTTTTTGTACTCTTCCTGACATAATTTTTTTTCAAACTCTAACTATTTATTGGCAAAGGATGCGAATGATGATATCGTGAAGAAAATCATTCGACAAAATTTTCTTTCACTAGAGTGTAACTATTTTTCATAATACGTTACAAGAAAATGCTGAAATACCATCATCGTCTTGAATAAAATTGTTGTCGATCGTCCCGATCGTTTCGAAACCATTCGTATTATTGCCAAATAAGTCAGGTGATGGAACGATATGCGTCGTAGGTTTTATAGTCGAGGACGTTACCGGATACAACGGTATCGGGCGTGGTGTGAGGGGTTTCGTAGGTCGAATCGGCGGTCGCGGGGAATGTCCACCGCTGTCAATTCCGGTATCTCCACCAATGTTGCTGCAACATTAATTTGCTTAAGTTTATCTTTCCGAGACAATAAATGAGATATTTTAATGTTTTGAAAAATTTTCTTATAATATATGTGTCAGATAAATGATCATTCACAGGAAATGACATGAATTTCTATTTACATGGGAACAGAAGGATTATCGGCTTTATCCAACGGACAGCAAACCCCTGGCACGAACAGACTCTTAAAGCACAACGACTGCCTCAGCTTAGTGAGATCGAGTAACAATTGCGGACAATTGCTGAGATCCTGGCACTTTCCCGGTCCACCCTCGGCCGTCGTGCATGCAGATGGAGTGGATTCCTTGTCTCTATTCGACAGTTTCTCCGCAGTTTGCTGCTGCTGCTGCTGTTGCTGTTGCTGCTCTTGGGCCGGCGGCTCATGTGTGGAAGACGCAATTGGTTGTCTTAGTGGTAATGCGACGCCACGCACCAAAGGTGCGATGCTATCTGTCACATTGCGGCCTGGAAAAAAGAGTAAGCTTCAAGATTTTATAATTTATATATATATATAAATATATATATATATATATATATATATATATATATATATATATATATATATATATATATATATATATATATATATATATATATATATATATATATATATATATATATATATATATATATATATATATATATATATATATATATATATATATATATATATATATATATATATTTATATATAATATTAATTAGTAATTAATCGTCCGCCATTCGCGCGTTATTTATTTTCTATATTAACTTTTCAATATTTTGTATATTGAAGAATTAATATTGAAAATAATTAACGCGTATAGTATATTCTATATAATTTAGCATATTGATTTTTTTCTTATTTTACCCAAAATGTTTTTGGAGATGGTGTACAATGCCGAGGGCAGTTCCTTCGATGGATAATTCGAGATCTCGACGCCCCTCGTCATATTGACGATATAGTTGCCCACGGTGTTTAAAGCGCCCAGAGTCTCGCTGATGGTCATCAAAGGATCGCTCTGTTCTTGCTCGATCTTTACCAGCTGCGTGTAGGTGTCCCTGCGATATATGGGTCTGTCTGATCTGCTCGGTCCGACTCGGTCCCAAGAGTGTGGCCATCCTCTCGTCGGCGAGACATACGAGTTGCTGTATCCGTGCGCTGCATTGCGACATTACCTCATATGAATCAGAAGCGAGTAGAATCATTATAATAATAAATGTAATATAGAAATAAAAATAAACAGGATAAGAGCGCGAAACGAAAGCGCTTTATTAAATTCTTGATTCTTCAATCGTCATTATCGCACACAAGCGGTATTTATGTGCAAAACGTAAGATTACATAATCGTATTCATCGTAGAATCACGAGTGTATCACTTAGCGTGATATAATCACGATTATTCCGATAAATCACAACCTCATTCGTGCTCCGCTTTCATTCACAGAAGTCTCGAGACATCCTAGATGGATTTAAATAGCCGATGATGATGAAGAAGATCCGTCGAGACGATCGTATATTGCGAACGATGTTTTTTACGCTAAGCGTGCTTTTGTCAAGATGAAGATTACTTACGGTAAGAGTGATAATGTACGACTTCTTCGGTGTACGAAATGGAGCCAACAAATAGACTCCATATTATGCACAGGCCTGAAACACGAATATGTTATTAAAACATGTGAATTATAATCCTACATAATCTCACACAAATATATTATTCCGTTATACAATGCGTTTAGCATCAATAAAACGGATGCGTACAACTCGCGAAATTATTTTGCGTATTACTAGCTTTAAGTTTTCACATAAATCGATTATTCATCTTTTATTTGTATTAATTTGGATAATTTATTGTTTGATTTATTTATTATTATCATTAATCTTAGTTCAATCGTTTAAAGAATTTAGTTTAATATAAGAAAAGTTTAGATATAAGTAACTCTAATTTTCAATAATTAAGTTATTAATATTTTTTTCTTTTTTTCATGTTTCTATCGGGTTTGTGTGAAATTGATATACAAGCTAAGAAATGATATACAAATTTAGACCCCGATGCTGCGGACGCGCAAAAATGATCTCCATGTTTATTCATGAGAATTACGAAGTCATTCGCAATCATCTGTCATCGGAAATACCGTTGCCTTTTAACACGTGTCGTCCATAATAAACGGGCACGTCTCGCATTATGCAATATGAAAACGCACAGCCACATCCGACTTTCGGATTTTCTCAGAATTTGTCGAAATTTCAAACAGGATATTCGGGATAAACACGAGAAAGGAATCTGGACATACACGCAGATCCAAGACAAGAACTTTCTAAAATGAAGAGAAATATTTATAAAAATGCGCAATATTTGACTGTAAATGTGGCCGCGCTTATTACAAGAGGCAGAAAAGACTCATTAAATGCGCGATTAAAAGTATATGATCGATGCGGATGGGAGAAAATTTCACCGAGTGAGAATATCGATCTTCGTAGATGTTTCTAATTAATACCGCAATTTTGTATCAAGATCTTTTGATTAGAGACTTATCTTATTAGAACGAGTGTCAATTCACAACGCGTTTCATTTCGACCTTGTTTTACATCGATCGTTCTCTCATTAATTAAGTAAAATTAAGTCGAGCATATCGTCAAATCTCCCGGAACCGCGAAAAAAAAGATACTAATTCGCCTTGGAGAACGTCTCGAGTCTGAAATCATTGTCATCGAATAATTCCTCGATAAGAGGATCTAATTCCGGTTTTTGAAACTCGATTCATTGATTTATCGATGTATAACGCAAATGTAGTGAAAATTTTGACTTGCTTTTAATTAATTCCGGAAATAAAAGTCAGATTTCCTCCTCCGTCTTTGCTGAAGAAAAAGAAAAACGAGATAATGGCTGATTATATTAGAGATTTCTAAAAAAGAGATACAGTCAGTTTGGAAGTAATAATCGCGCGTGACCCAGTTGTAAATGAGGGAATTGTTTTTTTTTAATATACAGATCGCATAAATCGTTCTTTAAACATCATATGCACACATACATACATTTCCTCGACCCTCAAGGTCCGGGATCGGAGGATCGAAAATGTATAATTAGAAAATTACGTGTCCCGATCGCGTGGAAGTAAGATCCTTCGGTTACGAACGCGCGTTGGACTCTTCTCATCGACGGTGAAAGTTGCCCGGCGTGAAAGTGTGCCTTTCTTCTTTCGTTCACTGATTCACGTCGTCGTGATACGTCGAGGAGTGACAAAGACGATTTATCCTTCGAAGGAACGGGGATAGTAAGAGCATGTTCCTGGGATAATTTATGTTACGCGATGATAGGGGGAAACCCAGCTTCAAGCGTTACAAGGACCCCTCGATAACACGTGTGTATTGGGATTATCCGAATAACTCTTGCAGATCATGCGGGTTGAATAACGTTAAACTTGCAATTGCATTGTCTCTCGTGACCGATTATCACAGTTATATATTATAATTATATCGCTATTATGAGTAAACAATATTATTTTTAATTAATTTTGTTTTATAAAATTGTTTATTTTTTGTTATTAATGAAATGTGAAATATAAAACGTTGATAAAGACAGTGACATATAAAACGGTCCTGGCAAATGATAAAATTATATTTAATTTTAAGAGGCTTTAGAAATTTTAATTTAAAGAGAAGTTTGATTTTCAAAAATCAAACTATAACATTAAAAATTCATAAGGCATATTATAAATAATTATATTCCTTGACATTTTTGCTAAGAAATAAAATCTTTATCTGAAAAAAAAACCTAAGGATTCTATGGAAACGTTTTATAAATAGATTCACGGCATTCCATACATTATTATTGTATGAAGATGTTATTCTATCGCTTCTAGACACGTTTCATTTAAGATTTTGTGACGAGGAAAGGTGCGTATCTTTTCTAAGTTTGAATCTCTTTGTGTCACACAATGCGTATATATATATGTGTGTGTGTGTGTGAATGTATATATGTATATATGTGAATACATAGTATATACCCACGCAGTAACCCAGATACATATACTGGACGCCGTGCGTGCATGATACCTGTACTATCCGCAACTTTATTCGCGACACTACACATCGGTGGAGAATAAAAAAAGGAGAACATATTCGAATATATATTCACCGTTTTATAGCGCTTAATCTCCAAATAAAGCCTCTCGAGAATTTAATACAACATTTTACATTTGAATTCAGGCAATCTACTTCCAGAAACAAACATGCGGATTTTTCATTCTAAAAAAAGTTCCATTATGTATGAAGATATATATACATACACACACGTATATAAGCGAAAAAAGAATTAAATTTTCTTACATATAATAGCTCTTCATTTTAAATCATAATGTATATTATTTATTTTAATGGAATTTTTATTTCTGTAAATTTTATAAGAACTTTAACACAGATTTGTATTGCTCTTTCTTTTTCTCAGAGAGAGAGAGAGAGAGAAAAAGAGAAGAAAGCAAGATTAGGATTAATCAATTTATAATTAAAACAATGCACAGAGATTTCGTGAAATCTTTTGTGCGCGATTCGTTACACTGCCTTAAATATGAACTATATCACAAATTAATGAGAAGTCATGTAAAAAGTACATGCAATATCATAATTAATAGATCAAAAAAAAAAATTATCTTTAAATGCTACGTACTGAAATTTGATAGTAATTTGGTAAAAGCGATAGTTGTTCTTTAAACGATATTAATTCGCGAGATATATGGCGAGTCACGATGCTTGGACGCTATTAATGCACGATCGTCGCGATTGCGATTTTATAAGTTTGTATATCATAATGAAAAGTAAAGTTTCGTTTTATCAGTAGAATATCAAAATTCCGTATCATTAGACAGTTTGCGATAGTAAACTAATATGAGAAAGTGGGAATCTGCATAAGGAATTTATAAACGTATAATTGAGGTCATCTTCAAGCTAAATGCGCTCACAACAAGTTAAAATAAACCCACATCACATGCAACGTTAATATATAAAAGAAATTCTAAGAGAGAATGTTGAGTTTTAAAAAATATTTTCAAATATTTTAAAAATTATTCTTTTCTCTCTTTTCGTTATTTAAGTTGTTTTTACGTGTCAAGAGAGTTTTATCTTTATTTTTAATTATATTTTTTATAATCTTATATTAGCATTTTTGATACATTATATTACACATACTTTTCCAGATTCAAGTGAATTTCCATTTAGATTCTTAGACCAAAAAATAAGGAATTTAGATTTAAAATGTTTAGAGAAAGCGATCCTAAAGATGCGTATTACTGAAAAAGCATGCAAATGTGGATCGCTTTCTTACCCCACAGCCTTCGCCGGCGCACTAACATACCAGTTCCAACACAGTTTTCACTTTTGAAAACTAATCCGAGCTACTAGTCATGCTCGGGCATATCAATAATCCGCTGTCATTGTTGCGGGTGACATCCTATTGCCAATTACTAATTCACTGACCAGAACAACTGGATGGTCATCACACACACACACACACACACACAAGCACGTGTCATCAATATCAAAACATTACCACATCCCTCCATGTATAATTCCAATACTCTTGGCACATTTGCAGATGCAAAAGAGGATTTCACTTACTCAGGACCACTGGCGATGACATCTCCGTTAGAAAAAGAGGAAAACTTGTTATCCCGCGGACATCCCAGTGTTTGTGCAACGCGCCTGTACAATACCCGGGGTACGAGAGACGCGACGCTGAACTATTTTAACTAAGAATGTCGTTTTGCGTGATCAGCGCGAGAGCACCGGCAAGTTATGCATGGTACGTCGAGAGTGGCGGAAGAAACAAAGAGAGAGAAAGAATGAGAGTGACAATCGGCGGGGAGACGGAAGAGAATACAACACCGGCGCGGTAAGAGAAGAAAGAAAGAAATAAAAAAGAGAAATGATCGTAGAATAGAAAGAAGGAAGCGTGCAATCGCGGTTGCACGGAACAGACCTACGGTCACGACGAACTGTCCGTGAAAAGACCTCGACACACTTTACTCTCGACGGTGGACCGCGACCGATCGGCTTGCTCGCGCGCTCACTCTCTCTCGTTCTTTCTCCTTCTTTCTCCGAGGCGCCGTCTTCCCAGGTCTTCAAGGGAAAGTGGTGCTCCCTCTACTACTTGTCGCTCCGTCTTTCGATAACGATTCGTCACGTAGGAATGTCTCGAAGTCGGCGAGTCTTCAACAGGTGTGTGCACCGGATGTAATCGCTGTTATTTCTTCGATCCCGCTGCAGAGATAAACAATTGTCGTAAGGATTTCCGGTGAATCTTCGGGATGTCAAAGTCTCTTTTTTTTTCTTTTTAGGCTGAAAGAGAGAAAAAGTGAACCGAGCGTATGCGAGTCGTAGTATTATCTAAATTTATTTACGTCGTGATAGTTTCTGCTACATCGAGTTCGTGTGTTCTGTTGTATAAAGTAAGCGTCGCTATATATACCGCATTATTTAACATATATAATTTATCCTCTGTGATGGGATTTAAAATATACAGATCACCAATATATTTTGAAAAAGAGAGAGTACGCGTTTTTCTTAAGAATACAGTTATGCGATAGATCGCTCTTCTGGTATATTACTCATTCAATTTATATTCTCTATTAGGACAAACTAGTTTAAGATAAACAGATGCACTTATATATAACCTTAACGTATCTCTCATTATAATCGCGAGCTGTTCTTCAAGCGAGAACAGCTGACCAAGGTGATCAATGTCCATAAACCAAATAGCCATTTACAAACTAATAAAAGAAAATAAATCGCATTTCGCTTTGTGAATACACACAATAGAATCTATTAACACATGTACAAAAGTCCGTTAGATACATTAGAAATGGTTAGAAACGTTTTGTGTTGTACGTTGAGTGGACACATAGAAGAAAAGAAGCGCGCGCGAAATATAATTGCAAATTATGAGATAAGTGCTTTTCTTCGATATTATTATGCATGAAATGTGGACTTTGTAGAAATTTTCAAACATTTTGCGGATTACGATAAAAAATATCGATATCGATAGAATGTATATATAATTATTATATATGAACCAAGCACGATTTTATAAATATCGGCGCGACATTTGTGCGGAAAATCTTTCAATAATTGAAAAAATCTTATATTTTCCAGACTGCAAAGGACTCGCACAACAGTAATAATTTGCATTCTATTGTAACTTAATGAACGCAATTAAATATCCGCACATTGAACGTGCATGTTAAAAGTGTAATCTACACTTGTCAAAGAACGTTCCTACGAATCTCTCGCAAGCGTTCTGATATTACTCGAATGAGATATACGCGAAAGTTCGCACGGCTGGATAATCAATATTTTCTCATAGGCATGGACGATTTATACGCGTCAAACCGTTCGTACGATGGCGCCGTTCCTGGTGCGGTCAGTCCCATAGATTGCATCGGTCCGCTTTGATACGTCGGTGGAATCGGATGTCGCAATGTATTTCCCATGCTACTCGAGTTGCTCCATCTGCAACAAGTGCGTCGCGTGTCCGTATTTTAGTTATCATGCTAATTATTTTTCTATTATATTTCGCTGCTTATTGAGGGATCGTATTGGATAAAGAAAATTACGCCCGCGATGTTGAAAATTATATGTTTAAGAATAAAATACCTATTGACACTGTCGGACGACCTAGAACTCCAACTAGAAGGCTCGCCACGGGGATCGCGAGATCCGCTACTCGTCACGGAGTTAAATGACTTTGAGGATGTAGGTCCCGAATGCCATCCACTCGGTGTACGATTGCTTTCTACGTAACGACTTTCACCTGCGAGAGATAACAATAGCATATATACGAAGATGAATGAAGACACACACATACATTATTATTAATTTATCGTAACTATAATATATATATTTTTTCTCCTTTACAAAATATGTAAAAAATCATAAAAATTTTTATTAAGAAAGATTAAGGATCGTAAAACTTAGTTTCTTTTGCAAATGTGACTTCATCGTTATATTGAATGCTTTTTCAATTATTTAGTATGCTTTATAATAAAAACTATGTTATACTGATATCAAAAACACATCTGACATTAATGTTCAAGTCATGTATCGTATAACATTTATAAGACTAAAAAGATTTTTGTACGATAGTTTTTCACACACACACACACCTTCTTTATTAAATCATAAGACTCTGATTGCAGGTTCAACTAACTACAATAAAGTCAACCAAAATTGAGAAATTGTATAAATTTTTATTACGAAGCAAAGAGAATACAAATTGGATTTAAAATGAGATAATAAATTTTTCTACAAAAAACATTCGCGCGCACATTTGGCACTTGCAACTACAATCTATACATATATCTTTTCCATTTTTTTACACACGAGATATTTTTATATATTTTTTATATATCTCATAAGAGATATTACTGTTTTATAATAAAAATGCTCTCAAGATTGTTTGCTACATGCAAAAGACACAAATAGTAAAAAAAATTTTTTTACTGTTGTACATTTATCTCATTTTATCATATATCAACTTTTCTTATCAAGTTCAATATAAAATTAGACACTTTAGTGTTTGTAGAGTTTTAAAACTTTGTTAATTTTTCAAAATTATTACGCATTATGCTCATTGTTCTATAAATTAGAATGTGATCTAGCACCATATAATTTTACTTGCATATTATTATAATTATGTACTATTCAAGAATTTCAAATCGAGAATATAGAAATAGATATATATAAAAATAAATTTGAGCTTATGTTACAGCATCGAGTCATGTGTATCTCTCGTTTGCTAAAGATATTTCATGAAAATATTTTCTATTATATTCTTTCTTAAGAGATGTTGCTTAATATCCTGTGTACAAAAAAAAAAAGCTTAAAAAAATCTATAAAAAATCTCTTTAATCTAAATAATTTAAAAACAAATGACCTAGAAATAGTTCAGTGTGATAAAGATATTATTATGAAAATAAAAAGTTTCGTGACAAGATGCAATTATAAAACTAAGAGTCTTATGAAAAAATTCCATATATCGCATGTTCACCACCTTTCGTACGTATGCAATTTATCATACTTACGTGGAGTATTAGATCCCGGCGGTTTGAAACTATCACTGTATCGCGTATGACTGTCCCTGGAGGTTCGATGCGTTTCAGGCTCGGATCGTCGTACTTCGCGTTCGCGAGTATAGGACGTAGTACTTGGACGATCGTATCTATGAAGTCCAAAACAAAGAATTCGATTAAACTGGTAAGAGGTTCAATCGCAATCATTTTATATAATAATATGACATGTACCTTTCCTTGACTTGTCGAGGATCTATGGATGAGGATGTAGTGGACAAACTTTCTCGACGTACAATGACCTCTCTTCCGCGAGAAACGTCGGAAAAACTGTCTGGTCGGCTGCTTCTCGATGAGAAATCGCTACTTCGCTTAAATTCCTTCTTCAATCCCAAGTCTTGAGCAGATCTGAAACAAATTTCATTATTCGCATTATCGTTGCATATTAAAAAAACTTCTCTCTCGATAATGCATTTTTAACAATAATCAATTAATAAAGAAAGCAAGAAAAAGGGTTACCTGCTAGATTCGTATCGAGAAGGTGGAGAAGGATCTAATCGTCTATCCGACACTCGATCTAACATATCATTTCGTCTGTCGGCTACTCTATCTGGACTATGTCTACGGCTGTGTTCCGTACTCATTCGTTTTCTGTCAGGTTCCACGTACAAATCCCGTGGATCTCTTCTGTCAGTAGATGATCTCTTTAGAGAAGGCGGCGGTGGCACGCGTCTGCTCTCCTCCAAACGCATCTGCTGCCTTTTTAGTTCCAATCTTTCGCGCTCAAGTTTCTCCCTTTCAAGCTTCTGCCTTTCACGCTCGAGTCGCAGCAATTCGGCCTTTTCCTGTTCGATCCGCTCCCTCTCTCGTCTCAATTTCTCTCGTTCTCTCTCCAAGCGTGCAGCTTCTTCTCGCTGCCTACGTTCTATCTCTCGTTGACGCTCCATATCTTCTCTCCATCGCCGCTCTTACTCCCTCAGAATCCGTTCTCTTTCACGAAGTCTTTGCCGTTCACGTTCTTCCTAAAAATTTCAGATTTTTTTGTCGTTTATACTTTTTTTTCTTGCTCTATTGATGATAGTTTTATCTTCAACAAAGATATTTACTCTTATCTTTGCAAATGTGAGAACGTCATGCCTCCGTCTTTCGCGGCTTCTAGATCGACTGTGACTTCGATGATCTCTGTCCCAGGTGCGAATCCGTTTTTCTTCTCGTCTTCCCCTCTCGCTCTCCGGTTTTTTACTCGTGGATTTCGTCGATCGGGAATCGGATTCTTTAGATGGATCTTCCTTCTTATCTTGCATCTCAATCTTCTTAGATTCAATATTTTCGTTTTTGTCATCAGATTTTTTTACTAAAAAAATGTAATAATTGTCGGATATTTATAATATTATTAGAAGTTGGAGTAAAAATTATTTACGAAAAATATAATTTGCTTGTTGCTTTATTTTTAATTATCATAAAGAAATAATATTTACCAGCATCTGATCCTTTCTCTTCGATCTCTTTCTTTGCTTCCTTTTCCTTTCTTTCATTTACATCATGATCCTTTGGTTTTTCTTTTTCGTCTTTTTTCTCTGATTTACCATTTATAGTATCTCGTTTACGTATATGACTTTGCTGCGTATCACCCTTTGCCTGATAACAGTTTATAATAAGAATAAGCTTGTTTATAAGGCACTAGCGATAAGTTTATATTTTTCTCTGTTTATGAAATACGTGTGCATGGCGATGAGCGAGTTTGTAAGGTTTTAGGTCAAGTTAGCAGAAGTTTTTGTTTTTACTTTTTTCTGTGTATTTATTTTTTGTATGAGGAAACAGATGTTCTCTTATAACTCTTAGAAAAACAAATAAAGATTTTATCTACCTAATAAAAATAAACTTCGTGACTGATAAATATACTGGCTTTAATACTAGAAAATATCGAAACCTTACCTTTTCGACAGATATGACACGTCCATGAAGCTCGGTTCTGTGCAAATGTTGTATACATTTTGCTGCATCTTCGCTTGAAGACATAGTAACGTAACCGTAACATCTTGCCCCAGGAGTTCTCGCATTAGTGACCACTTTTGCGCCTATAACTTTACCATATTTGGAGAAAATCTGCTTCAGATCGGTTGCGCGAGTGCTGGATGACAAGCCGGAGACCCATAGATTGCGACTGCTTGCGCTGGTTG